CTCTGTTGTCACAATTTTTTGGTCATTAGAGAATGTAAGTGTCAATATGCTAATAGCGCCATTTGCAACCTGGTTAAAAATATGCTTAGTCTGCCTGTGCTTATCCCTCGGTGTTGAATATCTTCCAGAGCCTCTACTCACACACACCTCACCCCGTTGAATGTCGTTCACTGTGTTGATTCTCTGTCTGCTCTATTACACTGTCCATTTGATCCTAGAGAGCCTTCACCACCACTCCTTTATCATAAAGTTGCTATTCGCCCAGAGTAGCGGCAGCAGCTGATCTTTCAGCCTGCTCGTCACCTCACACACCTGAATCCCCGAGCAATTGTGAATGTTAGTGTTGTTTATATTAATCAATTATGTTCCGTATTCACACTGAAATTTGGTTGCAACAAATCTCCAACAGTCTCGGCCCATCACTCTGACTGTATATCTTTTCAGACTGCTGAAGTTTGCCCTGTTTTAAAAAAGTCTTCCTATTTGTATCGCTGTCTGCCTCTTGCTCTATCTTCAACTTTTTTCCACGACTGTAGTTGTTATAAGTGTTATGTCTTTTAACATGGCAACAATCTCTGCCTCTCGTCCTGGTGATACATTTCCTTTAGGCTGAAATGTGTTTTCTCTTAGTGTTGTCCTCCACTTGTATCGCTGTCTACTGTTTGCCCTCATGCCTTCCTCTTTTCCCTCAGCTGTAGTTTTTATGCGAGTGTTGTGTCTTTTAATGTGGCGAAAATGAACACTATTTCATCTGTCTCTTTTTTAACTCCATTTTAATTCTGTCTTTTCAACAACCTCTGTGGGTGTTTGTATTTCCATGCAACACGATCTATTTTTCTGTTTCTGCAGGGACAGTTCTGGGTTAAAGATGAGAGGATCGACTTTATTGCATTGGATTTTATCCCAAATCTTCTTCTTTCTGTTCGGTTTCATATGCTCAGATCAGACCATCAGGTGGGTTGCCTCTATGAACTCGCATGTCAGTAGCAGGTCCTTCATGGTTCCCTGTAACTTGTTCTGCACACTTTGCTCCCAAATAGCTCGGTCTCTCTTTACAGAACGGTCGAACGATGGCATCAGGAACAGCCTTAAATATACAGACCAACGTATGCAACGCGTACACGAATGATCGCTCCCATTCCCCTCCACCACCCCAACCCCTCAAATACGTCTATGAAGTAGATGGAAGACACGAGGCATAATTTCGTTTTAAGTGTTTAAATAGTAATAAACAATGTGGCGTGTGTGCAAGCTTTTTCTTGAGACCTCGAAGATGTGATTTTACACAAGAATCCTTAGAATTCATTGGACAGCTAAGAATTGAGTTTAGTCAAGAACTGACATCGCAGCACTCGGGGCATTACCATGCGTGCTCTGTCCTCATCTTCAGCAGCCAGCGCAGATTTCCAATAATGATGCTAACTGTAACAATCTGGTTATATGTCCATATTGGCTTCCCTCTGAGTGTAATCCGGCCAGGCACTCTAGTTACACCCAGGGGCCTCATTCTCTCTAGCCCATAATAATCTTCTTTCTCTACTGAGGAGAATGGCGCTGCGAGGAGTTACCAGGGGGTCTGGCCAACGCTCAACACTCAATGGAAGAGCAAGACGGATATAGAATCAGTTACTGGTGCCATCAGAATCGCAACTCTTCCCTTGCTGCTAAAGCTGGGAATGGGGCGCTTATGGAAGTGCCCCGAGTGCTCTGATGTTGATTCTTGATTCAACATTCAACGCTGCAGAAGCTGTCGGATCAGAAGAGCAGTGCGCTGTCCACCTGTCGGAGTTTCCTTTCTAGACCAGCAGGCAGCCAAGGGCCTGATATTAAAATATTTGAAATATATTTGAAATTTATACACACACACACACACACTTATACATATATACATACGCAGACACACACACACCCACGAGCGCGCGCACACACGCGCATACATACATACATACACATACATACATACATACACACACATACATACATACACACACATACATACATACACACACACATACATACACACACACATACATACATACATACATACATACATACATACATACATACATACATACATAGACAGACAGACAGATATATAAACGCAAAAGTAGCTTAACGGCGCTGCCGGGCAAAATTTTTAGTTAAAAAACTTCCCAAAGTATTTCAGGATCCTCGCCGGTGCTTAGGAATTCGTGCACTGCGCTGAGAACCTTCGGATTCCGACTTGAGTTAGAAGTAGAACGGAGCACTTATGTGTTACTACCCTTGTGACATGTTGTTGATTCGTTGTCTAAACCTAACCCCCCCCCCCCCCCAAAAAAAAAATTATATATATATATAAATACAGAAACTTAGGTAAAAGTATCGTTAGTCTCCCCATGCACCGCCCATATACACACTAGCTCACTTCTGATTGGTAGTTCCTGAACCTGTCACCTTGGCACAAGGTTGGGGGAGGGGGGTGTTCCGCAATGCCATTGATTTCGCGTGTTGTATATTTCAGCACACCAGAGCTTTTAACGCTCCAAAAATATGGACAAAACACCAATCGCCCCCCCCCCCCCCCCACTCCCATAGAGAGTACTGCAACCTATGTCACAGGCATTCTCTTTCTCGGAATGAAAACGTAAATTCATGACATCATAAAAAGCAAACAACAGAGCGGGACAACCCGTAACCTTCAGGAAAGTCAACCAGCTTAACAAACTTGTGAATGAAAAGTGACCTAAGAAAGATAAACGTGAACCTAACTAAACTTACAAAAGATAACTTCTATACGTGGTTGATGGAAGGTCCCTGTGGGAAAGGGGGGGGGGGGGGGGGGGTACGTGAGAAATGTCCTTCATCTTTTAAATTGTTAACACAAGCGATCAGAAAGCCCGATCTAGTCCCTTGAAAGGTTGACACTCTTCTCCATCTTAGTTAGTGTTCAGTGGCTGTGAACTCCAGCGGAAAGTTTTGGTTGTTCGTCAACTTCTGGACATTGGTCATGTTCCAGAACTTGACTGGTGCGCTCATATGCGAGTTTTGAAAATTTATTTTTGGCAGATTCTTGGTTCCTCGCCTCTCAGGCAGGTGCACTCTGATTTCGAATGAAACACATTTAAGCTTTTACTCGGGGGTAGGGGAGTGGATCTAGACCCCCCCCCCCTCCCCCCTCCCCCACAACGGAGCACCTGACCCCTTGACGGATTTGACATTTATAAGAATAGTCGTGTTTGTCGAGGTAACATCGCTGCACAACAGGGCTGCCAATACTTGGGTGTTCCCCCAAGATCTGGGTTTTTCTTTGACGTCTTGGGTTCCGATTTTAGAATCTTGTGTTAATGTTTCGTTTCGTTACTATACAATTTGTAGTATTTATCAGTCTTGAGTTTTTAATCTTGTTTCTTGTTCTTTGCTTATGTATCGCTTGGGGTTTGTTTGTTTTTTAGTCAGCTTAGCTTGGGTTTTAATAAAAATCCCGTTGGCAGCCCTGGTTCCAACATATTTTTTAACCCCCAGATTTTAAAATTTGAACTTGAGGTGTCAAATAAAAACCCAGATCTTGGGGGGGGGGGGGGGGGGGGGGGGGGGGGGGGGGGGTAAATTCTGGCAGCTCTGTTAACAACACGCGCAACAGAAAGAAGAAGAAGAATGCGTGAAGGAGGAGGGGGTAGGGGACATGTGAAATACGCATCTCACAGTATCGCACCAAGTATGACTTTTTTTTAAATGCAGCGAATTAGGCCAACACTGCAAATATTATTGCAAATTTCTTTTTTTAAAAAAATCAAAACATCGGGTGGGGTATCATAAGTACAGTTTTTTTCAGCAAAGGTCAAAAAGTATCAAATGTGTACAAAATAGTCAATTTCTGAAGCCCATGTTTTGATTATTCTTTTTCTTTCGTCCTCTTGAAATAGGTTTAGGTTCAGAAGTCTCTAGTATCAGCTTCGCTGTCTTTTGTAATTCGTTCAGCGACCCGCAAAGTTTGACTAGCACCGGTGTTTCTCTTGGCCAAAAGTGTTGCTTTGATATGTTGTATTTGGGACAGTCTTTGAAGGACCTGATCTGTTGGCTTAGGTGCTAATCCACATGGTTCAGTCAAGTCAGTCAGTCCTTTGCAGAGCCTTGCTCCCATAACAACAACAACCCCCCCCCCCCCCCCCAGAAAACTTCTCGATCACAAGCAAGATGTCCCGCGTCCGATGCACCCATCTGGAGATCATCCGCCACATCCTGCACCCATCTTCTCTTTGGCTTTTCTCTTCCTCTCTTCTCAGGCGCAAATACCACTCCGCTATTGTTCTTTTTAAACTTTCGTGACGTTTCAAGTGACCAAAATATTTCAATTGTCTGTGTTTTGTCGTCTTTAATAGTCAACCTTCTTCAGTATTCAGTTCTTTAAATATGGATGCATATGTTCTTTTCTTTACCCATGATATTCTTAGAAATGTCTAAAACAAATGTATTCAAGGGCATTTATACGCTGTTCAGCTTGTTTACTTGCTTTTGCCAGGGGTTCTGAATATAGCTGGGCCATAAATATGGCCTAACGACTGAAAGGGCTTTCTGGGACCTCTTCACAAGTGATCCTCATCCGTGTGGCGACACTTTGTGTCGCTTGTGTGATGTCCTGGTGGGGTACAACAAGTAGAGAGGGGAGAGAGGGGGGAGAGAGAGAGAGGGCGAGAGAGAGAAAGTGTCTAGGTCTCACAGTCGTATGTTGCAATGTGAAAGATGCATGCACTTATAAATCTAATTTGTGTTCAACGTTTCAACATTTTTTGTTTTGAATTTTTCAAACTAATTTTTTAAATCCCAAATTTCGTTCTGCTTGCTGATTGTTCCACAAATAATCATCGTGATTCTTTTTTTTTACATAATCGCAAGGGACATCACCCAGAGTCTCGCGAGAGCGAGAGGGACCGAGAGTTCGACTCAGCGTTTAGAAGAAGCAGACGAGACACAGAGAACCGGTGCTTTGACGTCCAGATCATTTCTCTAAAACATCAACCATGGGAGCTTTCGATTTTCTTGACGATGTCAGGCGTATGAATAAAAGACAGGTGAGTTGAAGCTTCGAGAAGGCTTGCTTGCGATGTCTTTACTGCATTTCGGTTTTATGCTTTCTGATGATTCCATGTCCGTTTGCAACTTTGTTGATGTGAAATGTGACAATTACACGTCGTTAGTTTAGGTTGGTTTGCTGGAGGAACAAATCGTCACCGTCACGTTCAGCCAGCATCACCAAAGGGGGAGCTTTAGGTTATAATTGTGACTAGGTAAAATACAATGGCTTAGCATTGCTGCTTTTATCTTTGAGAACATTAGGCGAGGAGAAGAGTGGGTCAAAGTGCCACCTGAGCAGTCAGACTTGTGTAGAGTCATAATCACGCTGAGCCAAGAATGCAGAGACTGGCCAGCAGGTGCCACAGAGGTGGAGATTCAGCAATTAATTCAAGATAATGCTCGCTCAGAGGATCTGATCATTTACACAGACGGTTCAGTGTCAAGAGGCAAAAGAAGTGCTTGGAGCTTCTTAGCAAAAGTTAATGGTCGATGTTTAGTGCAGGAGAGCCTAGCATTTGATACTACATCCAGCTTAAGAATGGAGGTGGAGGCGGTCACTGCAGCTTTCCGCTGGCTAGAGAACATGACAAACACATCGTGATTGTAACTGATTCAGAAAGCATGCTGAGGAAGATCAGAACAGGTATGCTTCGTGTAGAGTGGCATGCTTCGCTGCGGAGGACACGAGTGAGGAGTATTGTCTGGATTTTTTCACTGGGTAACGTTGGTGTGTTGGGAAATGAACAGGCAGACAGACTGGCTGGCTCTGCACAACTTGGTGGAATACTGCTACATGATAGGGCAGACGTGGTTAGTGCCTTGTGGGAGAGTGTGTACAATTCGGAGGAGCAGATGAATCACCACAGTCTGGTGAGATTGATACAGTTGGGGGTGACGAGAGGTTGTGGCAGAAGCTCGAGGCTCAGAGGAAAGGCAAGAGAGACGTTTAATCAGGAAGCTACTGGCACCATTAGTAACGGAACTCTTCGCTGGCTACTGAAGATGGGGACGGAGCACTTATGGGAATGCCCAGAGTGCTGTGATGCCGGTTCTTGAATCAAATCAAATCATTGCTGCTTTACCCAGAGCCCCGAAAAGGACTCCTGCAGTGTTGATTGATGCGATCAAAGAACCCAAATAATAATATATATACCAGGTCCCAGTGTCCCGGCCGGCGACAAAGTCGTCTACCGGCAAGCCAGTGAGTGATCCTGTCGCTGATGCCACGTCGTTTAGTTAGTGGATTAGTCAGCTGTACTACCAAGTTCTCAACTTTGGCATGATTATTGTCTTATTATGTCTTGTCTACAGCTGTACTACCAAATTCTCAACTTTTCATGATTATTTTGTTATTTTGTCTTGTCTACAGCTGTACTACCAAGTTCTCAACTTTGGCATGATTGTGTCATCAGCTTTAATGATCTGGAAAGGTCTGATGGTTCTGACAGGCAGTGAGAGCCCAATCGTTGTGGTGCTCAGGTAAGATGTTTGTGGGCATTGTCATTTCTTTTGTGAATGTAATATCAAAGAAACGGATCCAGCTTAAACATACAATTACAGTTTTTAGAATTTTATTCTTTTTTTTTTTTTCCTTCAAAGGGCGGTTAGCACACAGTTAGTTAGTTAGTCGATAGATTATCCTCATTGCAGATCGAGCCTTTCAGTCCATAAGTGCTTGGATCCCCTCCTTAGTGAGTCCTGCAGCGTGTAGCGGCTCATGACACTAGTTCTGTGTTGATTTCTTATTCTTCTTTGGCTTTTGTCTGGCCATATCCCTTTTAACATGTTGTTTTTGCAGTCTTGTCATGATTCACAGTCATCACTAGTTTCTTGCAGTCTTGTCATGATTCACAGTCATCACTTGTTTCTTGCAGTCTTGTCATGATTCACAGTTATCACTTGTTTCTTGCAGTCTTGTCATGATTCACAGTCATCACTAGTTTCTTGCAGTCTTGTCATGATTCACAGTCATCACTTGTTTCTTGCAGTCTTGTCATGATTCACAGTCATCACTAGTTTCTTGCAGTCTTGTCATGATTCACAGTCATCACTAGTTTCTTGCAGTCTTGTCATGATTCACAGTCATCACTTGTTTCTTGCAGTCTTGTCATGATTCACAGTCATCACTAGTTTCTTGCAGTCTTGTCATGATTCACAGTCATCGCTTGTTTCTTGCAGTCTTGTCATGATTCACAGTCATCACTAGTTTCTTGCAGTCTTGTCATGATTCACAGTCATCACTTGTTTCTCGCAAACGTCTTATTTCTCATAGAGCATTCAGAATTTCTGCCTGGTCCATGGCTTTTCCACCCTCCACAATAGCTTTACCAGCAAGCCTATCATCTTGCTGTATTTCTTGCACGTCTGCATGCCCTGGCACAAATATAAAACTGATACGTGTCAGCCCCGACCACTTTAGAGACTCCAACCTTTGTCTTCAGACCCAGCCCATCTCTGACTTCCTGAGCATGCTCATTGAGTCACTGAGAAAGCCTGCAAGGGAAAAAGTCTGTGACTTCAGCCATGTTATTGCTTTGGTCACTGTCATGACCTTTGAAGTCAGACTACTTGTAGTCAAGGCAACAGTAACAAAATATTGCTTCACAGTTCTAACTCCAACCTGCACCGTTGAAAACTCAAGAGCTTCTCACATGGCGAATCACAGACACATCTGTGTAAATGACAGCATCACCTTGTAGAGAATTCTTGAAAATCAAAGCCTGCACTTCTGCCTCAACAGCGGCTGGACTTTCTTGTCTGCATTTTCTGTCTCGTCAAATGCAAACAGAAAAGGTTGTACTCTCTTGGTACTTGTACCCATTCCTCACCACATTCTGTGTCCTCAGTTGAACACACCTCCTTGGCCATACCTATCTACAATTTTCCTCTGTTTAGCCTGCTGTCTTTTTTCTGCTCAATTTCACTATGCAGCAAGTTTTGTGTATCTGCATTGACTCTGAGTTAGGCACCTGCTCAGCAGATTTAATTCTGTCCTCTGTTGAATTCTGTATGCACCTGACGAGATACAGCGCAATAAACCAGGCAGTAAATTGTGCAATCTATTGCTTGTCGTCTTTATTCAAATTTACTTGTATCCCCGTGTGGGTTCTGGGGCCCTATTATAGGGAAACAAGAATAGACCCACTGACTACCCAAAAGCATGTCGTACGAGCCGACTAATTGGCAGCTTCCTTCGAAGTCGGAATGCATCTGCCTAAGAGGCAAGGAACCAGCATTTGCATACAAATGAGTCAGATCTGTTAAACGGATGCACACACAACACTCAGGTTCTGGAACAGGACTGCAGTCCAGAAGTGGACGAACAACCAGAACTCTCCACCGGAGTTTACAGCTGGTGAACGTGAACAAACGAACGAACAAAATTTACTTGTGAACTGTGTAAAATTGATGGCTTTTAAATTTTTTGTAATTTTTATTGTTAGGTTTTTCTGGAACCACCTGAGTTATGCCCTGTTCTTGTGGTGCTCCTGGGACTAGAGGGTTGATGCAAGGGTAGTAGCACAGAGACTTATGTATCCTACTGGTTGGCTCTGCACAGCTTGGTGAATACTGATGCATGATAAGGCTGACCTGGTTAGTGCCTTGTGGGAGAGCGTGTTCAGTTCGGATGAGCAGATGGATCACCAGTCTGGTGCAGCGGGGAGTGACGAGAGGTTCTAGCAGAGGCTCGAGGCTCAGAGGAAAGGCAAGACGGGCGTTTAGTGCAAATGCTACTGGCACCATTAGTATCAGAACTCTTCCCTGGCTGCTGAGGATGGGGATGGAGCTTTTATGGCAATGCCCTGAGTGCTGTGATGTCGGTTCTTGAATCAACACAACTCAGCTTAAGTAACCCACATTTGCTTCATGCAGTCAATGATATTCTTGTTTACACTGCAGCGGGAGTATGGAGCCAGCATTCCACAGAGGTGACCTACTGCTGCTGACCAACTACAGAGAGGAGCCCATCCGTGTTGGGGAGATTGTGGTGTTTAAGATTGAAGGCAGAGACATTCCCATTGTTCACAGGGTGCTCAAAGTGCATGAGAGGTAAGACAGTTTCCCCAAAGAGTGTATTGTTCCTGCCATGTGCCACTGTCTTTAAATCATTATTTGTCTGCTTTGATACATCTTTTTTTCCCACCAATCCTGAAATGCACACACGTCGTAATTGTAACAGACTCTGAAAGCATGCTGAGAAAGGGGAAGACAGGGTTGCTTCAAGCAGAGTGGCAACCTTCACTTGGAAGGTCACGGGTAGTCTTTTCTCAAGGCTATGCCGGCTTGATGGGGAATGAACAGGCAGACACGATTGGCTGGATCTGCACCGCTGGGTGGTGAATTGATACATGACAAGGCAGATGTGGTCAGAGCCATTTGGGAACAAGCAATGAAGTCAGAAAAGAAACTAGCTTATTATGGGCTGGAAAGAATAATGCACCTTGCTGTAACCAGAGGCTCTGGCCGGCCCACTACACTCAGAGGAAAGGTAAGAAAAACATATAACCAGACTATGACCGGCACTATTAGTATTGGAACTGCGCTGGCTGCTGAAGATGAGGACACAGCGTGCATGGGTGTTTCCATGTTTTATTTTTTGCTAACTCACTTAGCTTTAGATTGTGCATCTCTGTTGACGTCTTCTGTTATTTAGTATATAACATCATAGATTTGGCAAAGTTGGCCATGCCCATTGAGTTAACTGTGTGTGTATGTCCCCACCAAAAAATGGTTGACACATTCCGTTTCTATGGACAGCTTTTATCGAGTTTGCTCTCAACACAGTTTGCACTCCCCTGCTGACGAGATTCTGTCTTCCCGCCATGATAAAAACATTGCAAAGGCAGCGTGGTTGAGGCTGCCAAAACTATAGGTCATTATCCCGCCCCGACTTAGCACAACCACAAAACACGCTGCTCCCACGAAAAACACATAGTATCCTGCATTGGAAATGTGCACAAAATAGCAGTCCATGATTAGGAAACAGAACTACTTTTGACTATTTTGAAAACAGGATTTTGCACAATTGAAATCAAAAATGTTTGAACACATCTACTCTGTTTGACCACCTATAGCAGACACTGGTTTTAGAGTTAATTGTAAAACATCTCTTTTTAGCACTCCCCAACGCTTTGTAGAACCAGAAAAAAATTGTGAAGTTCTTGTGCAATAGAACAAAAAGTTGTTTCTGTAGAAGAAGACACTGTATCATTCACAGCTAGGTTTAAAGAACGACAAGCTCAGGGCAAATAAATGTTGAATTAAGAATCGACATCGCAGCACTGGGGACACTCCCATAAGTGCTTAATCCCCATCTTCAGCAACAAGCGAAGAGTTCCTATTCCAGTGGTGATCAGGGCACATAAAACACCCTTGGATATTTTGCCACGTCAGCTTTTAGGAGCGACCGCACAATATATTACAAACAAAAATAACAGCTTCTCGCTGGGAGATCAAAGGTTCAGATTGTATTTTGATGTCATGGCTTATGCTGCCCCCTTGTGGTACCCCCTAATGTCGCCACCTCTCTGTGTCATAGCATGGCACAGCCCTGACGCAACTGAACATGAAACGGTTATATTTGTGAGTCCAGGGAGTGAGTCCTGCTATTTCTCTCTCTCTCGCTCTTTCTCTGTCTCTAATCAGTCAGTCAGTCAGCCTTTAATGAACCGCTACACGCTGCAGGATTTACTAAGGAGGGTATCCGCGCACTTATGGCCTGAATGATCCATTGTGCAGAGATGATAATCTGTCGACTAGACTAACTAGCTGATACATTTTAGCATGCCTTACTGAACAAGTCTTTTTGCACTTCAACCTCTAACCTTTGTGGAGCAGTATGACCCAGAAGTTGATGAACACATTTCACAATTCACAGCATACCAGGAGCTTGATTTCTATGGTAGAATTTTGTTCATGTTAACTGGGTGTTCTTTTTAAGCTAGTTTGTGTTAATGAGGTTTTTTTTACTGTATAGAATTTCTGTGTTATTTGCAGAGAAGACGGATATGTCAAGTTCCTCACCAAGGGAGACAATAACTCTGTAGACGACAGGGGACTGTATGCAAAGGGTCAGTTGTGGCTAGAGAAGAAGGATGTTGTTGGCAGAGCAAAAGCGTAAGTTTTCATTGTTGACTCTTTCTTATCCTGTGTATTTGATTGTCCGTGGTTTGTGTTTGTGGTCTTTCATGCAGAAACAGCCTTTATCTCACATTGATCAAAGAAGACTATTAGTGTAATATTAGTCTGAATGTGATAGTCTAGTTCAAATGTGACTGTCATAGAGTTGTTCTGAATGTGATAGTCTAGTTCAAATGTGACTGTCATAGAGTTGTTCTGAATGTGATAGTCTAGTTCAAATGTGACTGTCATAGAGTTGTTCTGAATGTGATAGTCTAGTTCAAATGTGACTGTCATAGAGTTGTTCTGAATGTGATAGTCTAGTTCAAATGTGACTGTCATAGAGTTGCCTTTCTTGCTTTGCCATTGCTCGAGTAAGGCAGTTACCAAAACACAGAATGCTGAACATGATGAGTGAACAGGTTTTTCTCAAGGACCTAACAGGAAGCAGCGTAGCTCATAAATGATAAACAAAGTACCAGATGAATAATTGTATCACGGCGGGTTGCACAACGACCTAGGCAGAAAAGACGGATGTTCTATTGTAATTTGAATAGTTCTGGTTTGTTACGAATTAATGAGACTGTTAACAGTATCTGATACTAACAACTACAACAGCAGCAAAATTGGACAGTGTACAGCAATGTACCAACCACTATGGCAGCTGCAGTGTCCTTTAAAACATGACCTAGTCCGGGAAGGGTCAATCCGTCTTCTCAAGTCCAAAACTGTCTTTAACTTCCCTCCTTCCATCACGTCCCTCTCCACATTGTTTGTTTCAACTTCATGGGGAAAAACCTGGTACTTATTTTGTGTGTGACTTCTGTTGCTTAGTTGCTGTACTTACTTACACTCATGTTGTACACTCATACAGATAAACTGTAGGTTCATGACAGCTACTATCCTAGAAAGTTTGTAAACACTGTGACCGATCCTGCACTGAAGAGACCAGACACACTGACATGTTCTGTATACAAAGCAAACAGAAGGGTTAGTTCCAGAGATATCTTTTCTGTTCTAGAGATATCTTCCTGCCTTGACACTACAAGGCATTCCAAAAGTAGAAAGTAGAAGAAAACTATTGGTAATCAGTATTGCCTAAGGGGGTTGTGTTGTACACCCCTTAGGTTGATAAAGGTGAGGGAACTGATAGAGATATAAAAATGTCACTACAAAAGGCAAAATGAGTTTTTAAAGCACTAGAAAACCTGTGGAAGCCAAATAAATTAAAGGTACTAAAAACAAAAAAATCTAATGTCATTTCAGTACTGTTGTATGAAGCTGAAACATGGAGAATGAATAAAACGTATACTGTTAAACTACACACATTTTTTAAAACTGGTGTCTGCTAAGGATAGAGGGGATTATATGATATGACATAATCACTAATGTTCAGCTTTCAGAGAGAACCAAACAGGTTCCAGTGAATCAGGAGATGAGGAAAAGACATGAGAGCAATATAACTAGAATGTCTTTGCGCTGGACCCCACAGAGTATAGAAATAAATGCAGACCAAAAACGCTTGGAGAAGCAAACTATAGAGTGAATTAAAAAGCAGCCCAGGTGAAGGGGGGAGGGGACATGGTGGTGAGCTGCATTCAGTAGCAAAGAATAGGACAAACTGGTGGGTGCTTTATTAATATCCTACCTCAAACAGGGGAAATTCACAGGTCACAGGACTGTCTAATATTTCAGGGAGTGGTAGATATGCTGCAAGCAGTCGTGGGACCTAGGCTGCACTCTCTCATGGGACGTAGGTGGGTTGGAGTTATTGCTAGTTCTAGATGTTTTGGGGTCGTTAAAAACATCAGAAAGCTGCGAAACCCAGTCTTACCACCCTCTAAAATTTTGGACTGTCCTATGACGTCCTCTGGGGTAGGATATTAATAAACCACCAACTAGTGTAAGTAGGCTGAAGGGAGAGCTATGCCCCACTGGGGAATCAGGACAGAAAAAGAAAAATCAAAATTGCAGAAATAAAATTAGTTTTATAGTAACTGTTTCTTTCTTTCTTCACTGCAGATTTTTACCCTATGCCGGAATTGTTACTATTCTAATGAATGACTATCCCAAATTTAAGGTGAGTGTTTGGAGCCGTGGGTTCCTTTCATTATATTGTATTGTGGCTTAATTATTGAGAACTGTCATTATTTATTGATGGGACCGGGTATACCTTACCAGGGCTCATACCGTTCAAGACCTGTCTACACTTCTCCACAGTTGTCCCAGAAATAGGTCCAGTTAGTTTGACATTATTCTCCCCAGACCCCGCCCATATACACACTAGCTCACTTCTGATTGGTAGTCCTGAGCCCCGTGACCTTCGCACATGGTTACAGGGGAGTTCCGCAATGCCGTTGATATCGCATGTTGTATATTTTAGCACGCCAGTGCTTTTAACACCCCAGAAACGTGGAGAAACTGGGTCTAACACAACTCCCCTTAGAGAATGCTGCAACCTTTGTCACAGGCATTCTCTTTCTCGGAATGAAAACGTAAATGCAAGACATCGCAGAAACCAAAGAGCAGAGCGGGACACAACCGTAACCTTTAGGAAAGTTGACCAGTCCAACAAACTTGTGACCTGCTATGTTTGTGGAGACTAACATCGAACTATTTCCTAAACACGGGCCCGAAAATGAAGATGGGGTCAACATTTTATTTGAAGTTGGGGGGTGCATCTGCCTAAGAGGCAAGGAGCCAACAGTCTGCATTCAACTAGCGCAGTGGATAGGAGACTGGCTTTCAAATCCAGCTGCGACTCGCTGCAGTACATAGCCGGTGTTCAAAACCAGGCAGTTCCCGGGGTTCAACCATCGTCTAGGAAATGGGTACCAGAGTTAACACTCTGGGGTAAACAGAGAAACGTTGCTATAGCTACAGTTTTCATGCGCCGGCGACACAGACAGACAGTTTCTTATCAGCTGTACTTACTAGTGTCAGAGCACTTATGGTTTATAACCGTGTGCAGTGACGCTGGTTCACATCTCCTGACTTTACTTTTTAGTCTGCATTCAGACAAGCCAAATCTGTAGTTGCACAACACAACACTCTTGAAACAATACCAAAGCCCAAAGCAGATGAACTACCAGGACTTAGTGACATTGTTTGCAGTCTCTGAACATGAAGAGATGAGTTGAGTTGGTTCAAGAACTGACATCATAGAAATCAGGGCATTCCCAGAAGCACTCCATCCCTATCTTTAGCAGTCACTGCAGAGTTCCAATACCAATGGTGCCAGTAACATTCTGATTAAACGTCCGTCTTGCCTTAGATTAGAAGGAACTGGATGGTGATTCAGGATCTCTAATGCAGAGGGGTACGGACAAAACTATATTTAGTAAATATAAAGGCGAGGGAAAAGATAGAACCCCAGAGTCCACATGGGGAGCCCGCATGATGTAAGCCACAACTCTGAAAATATGCTGAAGGGTCTATCAATATCAGGGTTTAGCCACCATATGCTAATTGTGCTGGGGCGTTTTTGTTTCTTAATTTTTGTTTTATAATGCTCCATTGGGAGCTGGGGGAGGGGGGGGGGATAGAAAGACTCTTAACAAGCTTGTCATAAAAAGCAACTAGTTAAGGTTTTGCTAAAATCTATATGTTTGACTCAAAGGTGCAGCCTAGCTGTAAACCACAACACAAGATAGCAGCAACTCCTTTAAGGGTGAAAAAGAAACACTGATGTTCTTTATTAAATACTGTATGTATGTCTTTGATGTTTCATCTTCCCTGCAGTATGGTCACTCCATACTTGCTCCGTTCCTTCGTAGGGTCACTCCATACTTGCTCCGTTCCTTCGTAGGGTCACTCCATACTTGCTCCGTTCCTTCGTAGGGTCACTCCATACTTGCTCCGTTCCTTCGTAGGGTCACTCCATACTTGCTCCGTTCCTTCGTAGGGTCACCCCATACTTGCTCCGTTCCTTCGTAGGGTCACCCCATACTTGCTCCTTTCCTGTGTCATTGGAAATCAAATGAAATGTTCTTCACTGCCCCATTTGAAAAACTGGTGAACAAACAATTTTCCCGGCACAATCCAGAAACATGCGCATGCAGTAAATGCATATGGTAGTTGCTAGAGGTGTGAAATCCAACAGTCGACACCAGAAATACAGTTTGTCTATGATGGAAGTAGTCGGTCATAATAAGCTGGCTATGTGCACATACAATTATTACATAATGTGTTTCACCAGCCCGCACATAAACCGACTGCTGGCCATATTGAACACCACGACATAACTGCTGCACAAATGAAAGGCATTCCACATGAAAAGCACAGATCACAGTGCTGCACCAAGCACTGAACTGTAGCTCAGGCAGTGAAACCGTAGACTTCCAATCAGTTTGTAGAAACTGCACTAGCAAAGCGCTGTCTGAAGCAAAAAAAACTTTGAAGCGAAACATTCTATTAAGCCTAGTCCTCCATTTTAGACCACATATGTGTGTGTGTGTGTATAGAGAGAGAGAAAGAGAAGGTCTCCGTTTTAAATGCTACAATTGTAACGCTGACAAACTTTTTTTTTCTATCCACAGTATGCTATTTTGGGTTTCTTGGGAATCTTTGTCTTAACGCATCGAGAATAGTACAGACCATTCAGCATTATAGACCAGAATGATGCTTATATGTGGTATTTGAGGACATTGTATGTTGTGCAGAATGAAATCAGCTCGCGTCAACATTGTCATTATCATTTTTGTTGAAGTTTACCACTTCAGAAAGTATTTAAAGGTGAATGGTAAATTGATTATTTTAAAAAATCTGATGTCAGAATTTAAAAATAAAAGCAGAATCGTAACTATCTTCAATCAGTACGTCCATTACAGAATGTGACTATCGTCACGGCCTATCTGAAAGTATTTCTTTATCTAGCCAATTTTCTAGCCCTGTGTGCTTTCCTAGCCATTGCCTCTTCAGTGTCTTGTATCCAGTATCACTGAGGTCTGCCTCTGCCTCATTTTACACCCAAAAAAAGTGTTCTTTCCGTGATCATTCTCTCCAGACCATGACATTTAACATAAATTACCCTCCCCTCAGCTTTCAGGTCAGGATGCTGTTTATGAGCCAGTTCTCCTTGATGCTCAGATTGGTGTTTTTCTTCTTCTTGGTCTATGGTATTCTAAGAATTGTTCAAAATTATACTGTAAAGACAAAGTCGGAATCAAAAGGTGGTCACTTGTACGAACAGGAAAATAACAGAGATTGACAAACTGCAGTTTCCAAGATTGTACAACCAGGACAAGAGAGGGGGGGGTGTTGGAGATCCATTGCAGCAAACCTTCATTGTGGTGATGGCGGCTGATTGATTGATTAGTACATTAATTAGCACAAAGTTCAAGCGAGGATTGTCTTTACTGTTCTGAGACTGTCAAATTGGTAATGATATAAGGAAAGAGGAGATTATTGTGATAGTTAACTTACCAGTAGAACATGTGGGTGCTGTATAATTATTTTTTCAACAATTAGTGGCATACCCTCATTAGTTAGTTAGTTAGTTAGTTAGTTAGTTAATCTTTCCTCTTGAGCCTAAAGCAGTGCAAAGGGCAGAGGTCATAGCTCTCCATGTCTGGCAGTTTGTTGCTATCTGTTTTAGGTCTTGGATGTCCATTGAGCCTTCCCTGATGATGGTTCTGTCTTGGGTCTTCCCCTTTATATCCTCTTTAGAATCATCACAAACCAGTCCAAGCAGTTGTTGACTGGTTTTAATAAATAATTTCAACCTTAAGTAGTTTGCCATTTCTTTCTGTCCAGGGAAATGCCATATGGTTGTCAAAATCCTAACCAAGCAGCCTGTTACAAAAGTCCCGATATTTCGAAATTGTGAAACTATTCACAATATCTAAACCACAGACATATGCTTACAGTAGTTAAAATAGGCCTTCTGTTGCCATTGTTAATTGTTGAGGTCAATGGAAGACTTTAATGTGTAGCATTGCCAGTTGGGGATTTAACCCTTTTTGTTTTGCCCCAGAAACAAGGAAAGAAATGGAAATCGGGGGGGGGGGGGGGTTGTGGGGGGGGGAGGGGTGGGGGGGGGGGGGGGGGGGGGGGGGGGGGGGGGGGCAAGAATGTCCACAACAAAAATATATAGGGAAAAATTTGGGGGGAGGGGGTTAATCAATCAAATCATTAGAAATGCAGCAAAGACTTGAACAATTACATTCCTTTGGGGGGAAAAACACAGTAATTAGTGACTAAAACCATGATCCTGATTACCAAAGGCTAAAGAAGAACTGTAACGTCATCATAGCTTTAATTGGAAAAAAATAGAAGAGCGGCATTTATAATCAAATCTTGCCCTTATATGCACTGCACAGGCCCAAACAGAGCCAATGTCATTAACAAGGCATGTTGGGGAGCAGCCGGTGCAGTAATACCGGATAGACCGCTTTAACGGTTAAAGGAAGATCAGAATATTTTTTGTTTGATGTGTATGTTGGAAGATTGGTGCTTGTAAGTTTGTTAACTCTTACAGTCCCAAGGAATAGCTCATACGTGTCATATGTTCCTACCTAGGAACCCTGTGAACGTAAGATTTTACATCTGTCTTAACAACCTCTTTGGCCTCTGATGCTTAACCCTCTGGGACTGAAAAAGTTAACATTAAATTTCGTTGCAAATAAGATACACAGTCATTTTGGGTGTGTTTTGTGCTTGATTTTCTGAAAATAGGGTTTGGAGTTAATGCTACTGTGTGTGTGTGTGTTTTTTTTTAAACTGTTGTTGACAATAAAGAGGAAAAGAGGACCAGGTGGAAAAACTTCTAATGGGAATTGACATATGCTTTCTGGGAAGAAATACAAAGAATATCATGAATTGACGGTGGGGGGGGGGGATAGGAGCGGCTGGCTGAACGGTTAGAGCGCTGGGCTCCCAAGCAGGAGACCTGGGTTTGAATCCTCGGTAAGGCTATTGATTGTTTCTGTCAAGTGGAAAAATTAAATCATCAGGCTCAAATACTCCCATGCCCACACTGCTAAAGTGGTATAATATTGGCAGTTTTGACGGAGGAGGGAGCGATCCTCCATAAGCCATGAAAAATTTAAACTGATTTGAGAAATAAGACACGGACAGTTCAGATTTTGTTTGTATCTATTATGAGAATGAACAGACTGGAAAACTTGGTGACAACTGGTAAAAGTTTCTGAACAATCACAAAGGGAAAACATAGAGAGAAAAACCTGGAAATGGGTGGGATGAGAACACTGACCTGATCCTTAATTCTGGTGATGGTTTGAAATAACAAATAACTGCCTATGCATATGATGGCCCATGATGATATTTTTAATCGCTAGTGACTCACAGAACTGTGCAGAATAGAGGGAATTAAATGGTATGATAGAATCACTAATGTAGAGCTTTGGGAGAGAACCAACCAAGTTTCACTGGACCAAGAGGTGAGGAAAAGATGCTGGTGTTGGATAGGACACACGTTGAGATAACCTAAGAACAGTATAACTAGAATGGCTTTGAATTTCTCAACTGAAAACCGCTGACAGGGAGAACGTAACAGAAAGAAAAAAAGATTTTTCTAGTAAAGATTGGAAAGCCTGACCACCAGATCAGTAGGCAAGTGTGCAGCTACAGCATCCAATTGCATACAGTAAAAGTAAAGATCCCTTTTTACACCTTTATGGGAAAGAGGACCCATATTTCGTCAGACCAATCGGCACCAGATGGGTAAAGTGGTCACCATGGCGCCGGCCGTCTTTACTTCCCCAGGACTTACATCCTGGTACCCATTTTAGGCTGAGTGGACCTGCGACGCCACATACCATGATTAAATTCCACTCAGCCAGCAGTGGGTTTTGATAGCAGCACCTTGGAATTACGAGTCGGACTTGCAATCCCTAATCCACAGACGCCGCTAAAATTGCATACAATAGCTTATGTAAATATTGTGTTTTTCATTAAAATGGTGGTGGATCTATATAATGAATTCATTGTTTTATATCTTATGTTTCACAATTTTAAGAATGTTGGCACTGTGCCATGACATTATTCAACTTTCTGGCTTCTTTCTAAGCTTATTTATAATCCTAATATGTTGATGTTAGCGTTTTTTTTTTTTCTAGTAATGAAACAAAAATGTCAACCATGGGAACACTCATGCTGGACATTTAAACAAAGTCAAGAACCCTTTTCCACGCCTTTAGGCGTATAGGGCTAGACCTATATTTTTTTTATAGATCAATCAGCACTAGATGAGTGATGTGGTCAGCATCACGCCGACCGCCTTTACTTCCCGAGACCGCACCCGGTACCCACTCAAGGCTGTGTCGACCTAGGAGCCAAGGTCATTTTTAAAAAATGTCTGGCTCCATCAGGTAGCGAACCCATGACCTTCTGATCCGCAGCGAGTGTCTAGACGCCATAGTTTCTTTTTTTTCTTGTTCACATGCAGAAAACTCGGGTAGGAAGTTCTGATGGTTTGTCCACTTTTGGAATTTTGTCTTGTTTCATAACTTGAGTTTTGCATGTGCATCCATCTTACATTTACATGCAGACTGTTGGTTCCTTGCTTCTCAGTCAACATCACTCTGGCAGAGGAAACATCCCTGGTTAGTGACCTTGTACATCTTGCTTGTTAGGAGTCAAGATCGGCACAGCCAAGCATAAGAAACACATCGGCTATACAAGAAGTCTTGTCAACCAGCATAGGAAGCTGGGGAACCTGAGCACCTGTGGATGTGTCCGCAGTGCTGTGATGATAATCCAACTGATAACTGATGCTTGTTAGGGCACATTGGGTCTATTCCTCCCTCTCTCCTTTCAGTTGGGCCAACTTGTTTATGCCTGTCCTGGGAAATAGAGGCAATAGGCAAGGTGGTGGTCACCGTGTCCATCGGGTGCCAAATGGTCGATAAACTCTGGATTGAGCACAAAGTGCCTGGGGAGCTGTAGTAGCAAAGTGGCTAAATGCTCACCAGCTAGCTTGAAGGTCGTGGGTTCAAATCCACATTGAATCAGATTTTAAAAAAATTTTAAACTCCTTCAAGTCCCAAGCATCGCCTGATACATTCAAAGGTTCCTACCTAGAAGCCCAAATGAACACAAGATGTGCAGATTTTACTAACACTCTGAGGCTAAACCCCCTGGAACTATTTCTTCTTTTCTCTACTTGCCACGTCAGGGCAGGAAGAGATCTCAGGAAGGAGCCCTAGTCGGTTTGTGACATCTCTTCATTTTCTGTGAGCACCAAATAAACTACTGTCAGTTTGTTAGACCAGGCAGTGTTTTCAAACTTCCTAGAGTGTCACACTTGAACTAGACTATCACATTCAGACTAGTTTAACACAACTTCAGAGACTGAAGAGTTTCATGACCTTTGCTGTCAGGTCAAACCAGCTTCAAATGAGCACCGAGTAAAAGTCCTGGGAAGGGGGAAAAAAATACTTTGTCAAATGTACTGTGGTATTTAATACATATTTGCTAACTCCAGGGAGTTAGTTCATTGCTGTTTTTCTTCTTTTTTGTGTGCACCTGCGGTAAACTCTGGCTGTTCGTTTACTTCTGGACTCTAGTCCTGTTCCAGAAACTGAGTGTTGCATGAACATCTGTCTGACTCATTTACATGCAAACTGTTGGTTCCGTGCCTCTCAGGCAGATGTACTCCGACTTCGAAGTAGACTCCCAATTAGTCAGTTCTTACAACATGCTTTTGGACAGGCAGTGGGCCTTTTCTTGTTTTACCCACAATCCACACAGGGATTTAGTGTTTTAAATATCAAAATAAACATAAGTTTTGTATAATCCTGCAATTTTAATGTTTCCTGTCACATGAGAGAGGTTCTTACAGGTGTAAGCATTTTGGTCAATATGCTTGTGTGTGTGTGTGTGTGTATGCTTGTGATGTTGGCAAGAATCCATTCACATTCTTCAATAAATTATTTTAATGTCTTGTGATTGCTGCAGGATTTTTTCTTTTGTGTTTGCTCTTGAAAAGGGTGGTTGTGTTGTAGTTTACAGCTAGACTGTGATATCTGCACCTTTCAGACACAGCTGATTAACAACAATCCCCTTTATGGTTTGTTTTTTAACCCAATAATGGGACCTTGGAACTCACCTGAGTAGCAACATCTGTATGTTTTGTGCTTGATAAGGCATCCGGGGACCGTGTTAGCTGGGGTTCACCCAGCCTCTAGGAAATAGGTACCAGAGTTAACACTGGGGTAAATGGAGGAACGTTGCTGTAGCTACGGAGTTTCGGACAGCGACAGTTTCTTACCGGCTGTCCGCACTGGTGGCAGAGCACTTATGGTTTGTAATCGTGTGCAATGACGCTGGTTCACATCTCCAGACTTTACCTTTAAATAAGACATCCACAAGAGGATGGATACAGTAAATAGCAGAACATCACGAAGGAAAACAAAGAGTAAAAAAAAAAAAAAAAAAAAAAAAAGCAGAGATATGAATCCAGGAAGTTCTGTCTTCTTTTCATACTCCCTGCCAGTTGTTTTTCAGAAGAGACTTCCAAGGAAGCTCCCATTTAGTCGAATCTTAGGAGATGCTTCTGGGCAGGCAGTGGGTTTTCCCCCACAATGGGGCCTTGGAACCCACACGTGGACCTCTGTGAAGTCTGTTGGGGCGTTGCGAGAACATATACAATATACACACACAATTACAAGATATTCAAGCGATGGGTTATTGCAAGAACATAAATCACTGAACAATAACACATAATGTCTACCACAATTGTCAATAACAAGGCCGAAGAAACGGACTGACATAACCATGTTTATTCATTTCACAATTAAAATTAAACATTTATTCAAAGAACAGCAATGAAATACAACAAATATATTGTACATTGTTAAACCAAATAATGTTTCAATGTCATAATCCAATATGAAATAATTTCACTAGCATGTGTGCTTTACACACAATATGCATTATCAAAATTTCACCTACGCAAAATTCAAATCTGCAGGAAGGCTTAACCCAGACATCAAACATGTGCTGAAGTAGTATGTGTTGGCTGAAAGGCGCAAATATTGCAGCCATGTGTTATAAGACACAACGCATTTACATCATCTGAAAAAGCACAGCGAAGAAGTGAACCCTTTTCTAAATTTTGAAAGAAGAACAAAAATCATGTCCTCAGTAAATACAGCACACCAACCACATATCACAATCGAAAATGAAGAAATAGAAAATGACACAGATTTCAAATACTTGGGCACCCCGTGTGAGTTTCAGGGCCCCATCGTAGGGAAAACAAGAATAGACCCACTGCCTCCCCAATAAGCATGTAAGAGTCAACTAACTGGGGGGGTTCCTTTAAGGCCGGAGTGCATCTGCCTGAGAGGCAGGGAACCAACAATCTGCATACAAATAAGTCAGATCTATAAAACAGATGCACACGCAAAACTCAGGTGCTGGAACAAAGCCAAAGTCCAGAAATGGATGAACAACCAGGACTTTCCACTGGAGTTAATAGCCGGTGAACACAACAACAACAACAAATACTTGGGCTCTTTAGTAAATGACAGAGGAGACTGCTCAAAAAAAGTCAGAGGAAGACTTGCATTAGCAATGCAGATAGCATGAAGAACCAATGGCAAAGTACCTGTAAATTAAAGTACAAATTTTGAGATGCATTTTTCCAGTGGCAACTTACAGTTGTTAGTCCTGGACTCAATCACTGAAGAAAAAGATTTATCTTCTGAATTAAAATGTTAAAGAAAAATTCTCAAAATACCATAGATCAAGAAGAGGAAAAACATCGACATTCTACACGATTTAAACGTCAAGGAGAACTGGCTCATAAACAACGTCCTGTCCTGAAAGTTGAAGTATTTTGGTCACATCAAACGTCATGGTGGTTTGAAGGGTGCAGTTTGTAGAAGTTGCATGGGGTTGACCTCTGCGAAGATGGATACAGGACACTGAAGATGCATTGGCATTGAAAGAAAGCACATGGGGCTGGAGAGCTGGCTAGGGAAAGAGATACTCTCAGGCATGGCTAGGGAAAGAGATACTCTCAGGCATGCCCTGGAGACAGCGACGTTCCGCAATTGATAATGATGAAGAAAGAAATTAACATCTGTAAGATGAGGCGCCAGAGGAAAGCCACCAACTTAACCACTCAAGATAGTGAGAAAAGATATCAGGTTGTGGAAATGACACCTTGCAGTGAACTCATTGAGAAGCGGTAGACCAGATGAATTTGGCCGTCTCGTTAAAATGCAGCCATAACTACTAGGAGGCCGCCCAATAAGAAGATGGATTAATGATATTAAAGACATTAAACATCCTCATGGAATAAACAACAGCCAGTGCTGACCACTGGACTACAAACCGATCCTCCCCATTAAGTTTAACGGCAAAAGTGGTCAATAAATCACATGAAACCTCCGGAAACTATAGATTCCAGTAACACATAATTTTCCAGTGAAACCTCTAGAAATTAAAACCTAAGGAATCTTCATTTCTAATGGAACCTCCAGAAACTAGATTCCATTAATGCCTAAGGGAACTCCAATTTCTAATGAAACCTCCACACACCATTGTCTGTTATTGTCCTACTGGCTACATATTTGTTGACTTGAAATGTACAGATCATCATATATGGAGACCTGACTATACAGGGTGGTTGAATCCAGCCCTACCATGTGGGTGCAGTGTTTGCCAATCTTCTCATACGCCTGTGGGGAAAACAAAGAGAAAAAAACGAATATGTAACAGATTCTATGTCCTCTCCTATAAATTTTAATCAATCCATCAGCACTTCATGATGCTAGCAATGAGTGGTAATTTTAACATATTTTGGTACTTTTCACAAACTTGCCCGCACTGTGAGAGCTATTTCCCTACCCATTCCACGGACTGTCCTATGGTGTGTGAGTGTCATGTATTCCTTTTTTTTCAACAGTTGAACCCCTTATCTATTTTTGTGTGTTGTCACTGCTCAATTGCGTGTTTATTTCTTCGTTGTGCTACTTGCCCAGTGGTTCAGGAGTATCGAGACTGGGATGTTTTTGTATTCCTACATTCTTATCACTGGCTTCTTTTTCTGGGGGTGAAGCCACCGCCAAGGAACGTAGAAACACACCCGAAAAACATTCGTTTTGATACTCACGAGTCATCAGGCCTTCAGCGTCTCCCCCTGGAGTACTTCTTACTTGTATACACTCGCCTGAGTCGCCTCAAAGAGACTCGCGGTGACACAAACTCCCACAGACATTATATACGGCAAGCAAAAGCCGAATAAGGCCATCTCATAACACCCCTACAACATAGGACAGGCTGTGCGATAAGCCACGACATGAATGAGAGGGAAAGGACTCTCGCCATGTGAGTTTCCACATTAGATATATGGGCGATCATTTCTCTTCACAATCTGCGACTCTGTGTATCAGTTTGTGTGTTGACACCCCTCTATGCCATGATAAAAGGCTGTAAAAAATCTTCTCATGCTGTCTTTCTCCGTCTCTCTTTCCACAGATTTTTCCAGTGGTTCTAGTTTCCCTTTTTGATGTTTGTGATAAGTTGTCTTTGAGCCCTTGCCTCTTTCAAAAGATCTGGGTTGCTTTTTTTTTTTTTTTTTTTGGCTGGCCAAGTAATTCAAAGAATTCTGTGAAAAAATTTTTTTTATACACACACACATTTATATATATGGTGTCAAAAATGAAATGGAAGAATTAGCACCTGAGACAACAGATCATGTCCACCAAGACTGTCCCAAATACAACACATCAAGACAAAACTTTTGGCCAAGAGAAACAGCGTTGCAAGCCAAACTTTACGGGTCGCTTACTGAATTACAACAGACAGTGAAGTTCATACCAGAGACAACACTGCAGACATAGATAATCTTTTTCAAGCAATAACAAAAACTAAAAAAGAAGAAGAAATGAAAGATACTATGTTGATAGCAGCAGCTTTTGTATTTAAAAAAATATTTTTTTTAAACTTGAGGCTGTCCACCAGTCAAACAATTCATTAAAGAACAACAAATAGAGATGGTTTGGCCACCTGACGAGAATACCCTGGTACCAACTGCCACAGAGAGCCACGCTGAAGAAATATAATGAACACAGAGCAAGGGGAAGACCATGCAAGGGATGGAGCAAAATCATCAGGAACAACCTGATAGAAATGAACCCCAACTTGTACAATGCACTGCAAAAAGCGCACAAACAATCCTTACATCTCCCAACACCTCAACTGAAGTAAATGGTGGAAGAGAAGAAGAAGAAGAAGCGGTCCAACATACCTTGTATTTCTGTCCTGATCTCGGATCTTCTTCTCCATTTCTGCATCTGTCAAAGTTTCCAGGAAGGGGCACCACTGGTCAGCTTCATTGTGGTTGCGGAAGGCCACCTCCACAACTGGCAGCGGGGCCTCACTGTTAGTAAAGACATGTTTACATCCACATGAAACACAGAAAGACAAAAACTGTGTACATAAAAAGGCTGAATAAGGTAAATGGGGTGGACCGATATTAAGCTTTTTTTTTTAGGTGTATTGAGCATATAGGGCTAGATGTATATTTTATAGACCAACCAGCATTCAGTGGGTGATGTGGTCAGTATCACGCCAGATGCTGTTACTTCCCAGGACTGCACCTGGTCCCCACTCAAGGCTGGGTCGACCTAGGAGCTGAGGTCATTTTTGAAGAACTGAAGAAAACCCGGTTCCGCCAAGACCCGAAACCATGTCCTTCCGATCCGCAGGCGAGCGTCTAGCCGCTACACGACTCCTGAGGTGGTCCTATATTTGGAAAAATCAAAGCATGACTCTGTATCCCTGTCTAGACTGATGGGCATAGGGGTGCAGCCTGGAGCTGCAAGAAATGAACATTTCACTAAGGGGACAAGACGTTTCATTAAACAAACACAGAACAGGCGTCATCAGTCGTTTTACACTTGTGGAGCTTTTGAGGAGGAGATCGGAGCACCTATGGATCTATCCAGAGTGCTGTGATAATAATCCTTACTAATCACTAAAAAAAAAAAAAAAAACGGTGGACAAATATTTTGATGACTAAGGTGACAGCAGCTTCACCATTATGACCCCCACTGCAAAACTGTCATCATGCAGGTTCCCCAACACCTGTCAAACAAAGAGCCAACAAATCTGCAGGAAAAGTGATGCTGATAGTTTTCTGGGACACCAAAGCTGTTCTTTTGAAAGAATACCTGCCTCGGGGCAAGGCTGTTAAAGGACCGTATTTATTTAGGATTACTTACGAAACAGAAAGGCTGTGACAAGAAAACAAGGGATTGCCCACACTCAAAGTCTCCCTTTGCTTCAAGATAACAACCTCCTTATCACAAAGCACGGAGAGTGCAACTAACAGCCAACAATTTGAACATTGAAATTCTTCCTCACCCGCCATATTCACCAGATTTGGCATCCTCAGACTTTTTTCTTTTCTCTAACCTTAAAAAATAAAATAAAGACAAAAGAAATTTAGTTTGCCAGTTATGAAGAAGTCACACTAGCGTGTGATAACTGGTTGAGCTCGAAAAATAGGGTCTTCTATTCCCAACATCAAGCAGAGATGGCATAAATGTTTCATTTCGGGTGGGGGGGTGGGGGCAACAATACTGAAAATGAATTAAACCCTGCCACAAATTTCAGCTTTCTATGTCATTTCTCTCATAGTCTGGGTGAGGACTTCAGGATCACCCCTGGTAAATACAAGCATTGACAAACACTATGAGCTGTTTCTTGTCTGCCTATAGTACCACTATTTAGAACAGTGCAGGATACGGGTACTAGGAGTGAGAGTGGAGTTGATACAAGAACCGACATCACAGCATTTGGAGCATTCTGATAAGCTCTTCATCCCCATCTACAGCAGCGAATGCAGAGTTCCAATTCCCATGGTGCCAGTAGCACTCTGATTATATGTCCGTCTGAGAATCGAGCATCAGCCAGACCCCCTCGTTACTCCTCGCTGCATCACTCTCCCCATAAGGCCTTAACCACACCTGCAATTAAGACTATGGCTGCAACGGACATAGAGCAGAGAATGCTTCTCACACGATATCAGCAACTGAGCCTGAGAATTTGAGGCCACATTGCCGTTAGTGCAGTTGCCATGGACTGTCCAAGCTAGGACGTTTATTTCTACCACCGACAGAAAACAAACTTCCATCACCTCACCACCCATGACAGCCCAGATTGCTGCGGTTTACAGCTAGGCTATTAAACCTGGGTCTTTCAGCACCTCACATCCAATTTTACAACCTTCAATTATTTGCCTTTATATTACATTAAAGAGTGAGGACTCTTGACCACGTCTTCAGATGTTTTGAGCATACAGGACTAGTTCGATATTTTATAAACCAGTTGGCAGGTGATGTGGTCAACGTTTTGCTAGCCGCCTCTACCTGCTGTCCATTTAAAACTGGGAGGCAAGGTCATTTATTTTTTAAGACCAGCTCGTTCGTTTAATAATATAATTGTTCTATAATATATCTCTTTATGTCTATATTTTCTCCACTCAAATACTTCTTGCTTCCATGCTGTCCACAGTTGTTTATAAGCTTTGTTGTCTTGACTGGTGTGTTATTCACTGATGAAGGCTTTGGCTGAAATGCTCAGCTGTGTTTGTGCACGTCTTTTTCCATTCCTTCTGTTTAGTTTTTTTTTTTCAGTCTGTATGTGTTGCATTTAGATTTTCTTGTTATGGGGCTTAAAATACCTTGGACAGCCAAAAAAAACAACCAAGAGGTTTTGAAACAGACGGGAGCCCGAAGACAACTAATCACAGACATCAGAAGGAGACGGACATCATTGTTCGGCCATGTTATGAGAAGAGGGAAAATAGAACATAATGTGACTACTGGAAAGATCTGTGGAAGGAGAGATAGAGGAAGACAACGAGAGAAGATTCTTGACAGTCTTGTTGCATGACATGGAGGTGTGTCGGCACACGAACTGATACATGCTGCAGGAGATCACAGATTGTGGAGAGGCATGATCGCCCACGCCAGTTGGCAAGGCACCTGATGATGATGTTATAGGGCAAGAGACATAATCGTTCTCAACCTAAACTGGGGCCCAGGAACCCATACAGAGAGAAGAACGGATATGATGTTTAATTAGGAATCAACATCACAGCACTCAAGACATTCCCCTAAGTGCTCCATCCCCATTTTCAGCAGCAAGTGCAGAGTTTCAATTCCAATGTTACCAGTAGTGGTCTGATTGTATGACTGTCTACCATTTGTGTTCAGCGTCAGCCAGATTAGATTGCCTGATCTCTCCTCACAGCGCCTTTCACCAAGATAATCCATCGGGTTCTTCGCCCAGGTCACTCTCCCCCCGCTCAAAGGACCCTTACAATGTCTAGCCTCGTCATAAATCAATTAACCAACATGTCATGTAGGACCAGTAGGTCTATCTGCCTGTTCATTTCTCAACACACCAGCATGACCTGGATAAATTATCCAAAGGATGCTAACTACCAAGCACTTCTAAAGCGATGCTTGCCACTCTGCACGGAGCACACCTGTTTCCACCTTTCTGTGTCAGTTATAATAATGACGTGCATAGCTGATTCTCAACCCAGCCAAAGGCCACACGGATGGCCTCTACCTCCATTTTCAATGGATTTGAACATGTAGCAATGTAATCAAAAAAAAACACAATGCTTACCTAAATGCATACGTCCTCTGGTGCCAACTCAGCTGTCCTCGAATACTGTAAGCAATGGCAGTGACAAACTCCCCTCCAAGACCTGACCATGTACACAATCACCAAAATTAGTGTCTTGACAAACAGCATCAATGAAACAATTGCTATTTTTCTTGAAACAATGAAGACTCAAAAATAGTACTGCAGGGCTCAGTAGAGGGAAAGAGAAGAGGCAGACCAAAAAAGACCTGGTTACAGAACCTGGCTGACTGGACAGGCCCCAGGCGTGCAACCATGAAGTCTATCGCCAAAGGTTGTTTACCCTCTCATTAATCAAGACACCTCGTGCTGCCCTTGTTTACCTCTCTCATTAATCAAGACACCTCATGCTGCCCTTGTTTATCTCTCTCATTAATCAAGACACCTCGTGCTGCCCTTGTTTACCTTTCATTAATCGAGACACCTTGTGCTGCCCTTGTTTACCTCTCTCATTAATCAAGACACCTCATGCTGCCCTTGTTTATCTCTCTCATTAATCAAGACACCTCATGCTGCCCTTGTTTACCTCTCTCATTAATCAAGACACCTCATGCTGCCCTTGTTTATCTCTCTCATTAATCAAGACACCTCATGCTGCCCTTGTTTATCTCTCTCATTAATCAAGACACCTCGTGCTGCCCTTGTTTACCTTTCATTAATCGAGACACCTCGTGCTGCCCTTGTTTACCTCTCTCATTAATCAAGACACCTCATGCTGCCCTTGTTTATCCCTCTCATTAATCGAGACATCTCGTGCTGCCCTTGTTTACCTTTCATTAATCGAGACACCTCGTGCTGCCCTTGTTTACCTCTCATTAATAAAGACACCTCATGCTGCCCTTGTTTACTTCTCATTAATCAAGATCCGTGAGGTGTTACTGGAAGAGGACTCACCTTCCAAACAATTACATCTCCTCCTCCTCCCTTCTCAGTAAGGTAAAGTTAAATTGTATTTATTTTGTATTTATGTATTAGGCACTGTTGTGATTATTTTATACAATCCCATCAAATAGCATAAGGATTTTTTCCCCACGGTAATGGATTAATCATTTGCTCTTTATTTCTTATGGGAACATTCATTTGGTCCAAAAATCTGGAACAGATTCATCATCATGCAGCAGGTCCTTGCTCTCATCGCGATCTGCCTGAAATAAACTCGGTCTCTCACCAGCTCTGCTGTCTTGTGTAGTTTCATATCCAAGAAGTCACTTATATCCTGTGCCCATCATAGTGTTGGCCGGCCCCTGCCCCTCCTTCCTGGTACAACGCCTTTTTCTGTCATGTTTTCCAATCCGCCACGGTGCTTGATATGACCAAATGAACAGATAAAGGATGTATATTAAGGTAGCACTGTATATCCATTTTATATATATAGATGCCCGGCTCACTAGCGTAGTTGGCTAAACCGGATTGCGCAGTGACTGGGTGACGAACTCCTTGTGGTCCGGGTTCACGCCCAGGGGTAGGCAGAAAAGACACATTTCACCCAGATTTACGGTATTTATCATGGCTTCTGACACACACACACAATATATATATATATATATATATATATATATATATATATATATATATATATATATATATATATATATATATATATATATATATATATAGAGAGAGAGAGAGAGAGAGAGAGAGAGAGAGAGAGAGAGAGAGAGAGAGAGAGAGAGAGAGAGAGAGAGAGAGAGAGAGAGAGATAAAACATTAACAAACTGTCTACAACAAGGAAACATACCCAGCTCAGCACACAATTTGGTAGCAAACTCCTCTGGGCTGTTCTGAGGTTCTGACATGTCCCACTCAAACTGGTCGACCAACGAGATGTTTCCTACATGAATGTTTAACTGAAACATGAGAAAATAAAAATAACCACTGCAGCATACAGGTGGGTTTTTTTTGTTTGCCCTCCATCCTACGATGAAGCAGAGGACCATTCCATTCCCTTGCTATGCAAGTACCAGGAATTTAGCAATGAGATACAAGAATATTGCAACAAAATGCAGTGTGAAACAAATACAAGAATGTAGTAAAAAGAAAAAGATACAAAAAATGTAGTTAAAAAAAAGAAAAAGATACAAGAATGTAGCTACAAGCTGTCATATAGCAAATAAGTCATATGAGTGTACAAAAATACTTAAAAATGGAGCAATTAATACCAAATAATCATATTGCTTTGTCCATTCATCCCCGCCCTATTGCCACCCGCTCCAAAAATGGTCATCCACAAAAAAACCAGAACAGATAATTAGTATGGAAACAAGATATAAAAGTGTAGCAAGAAGAAATAAAATTGTAGCAACAAGATATACAAGTGTAGCAAGAAGATATAAAAGTGAGGCAACGAGATATACAAGTGTAGTAACATGACATAAAAGTGTAGCAAAATTATATAAAAGTATAGCAATATATGAGATGTTTGGCCTCTAGAAGAGATAAAATCAGAAATGATGTCAAAAGAGAAAAAGTCGACTCAGAACCAATTCTACATTACATTCAAAGACAGCAAATCAAATGATCTGCCCACTTAGAAAGAATGCCCTTGTGAAGCCACACCAAACAAGTTGAAGTTAGTGGCTTATTCTTTACAGGACGTTGCCAAACCAACCCCAGCATTTTTTTTTTAGCTGAGGCAGTTTACATCAAAAAAGGAAAGCATGAGATAGACCAAGAACAACATGGAAAGATAACATTAGAGAAACTCTAAAACAGCATGGTGTGTTTATGGTAAAGGCAGCCAGAACATCAAGAAGCAGAACCGTATTTCTTCCTCGACACCCGGAGCAATAAGAGCGATAGTAAAGCAAAAGCTTGTCTTTCTTTTTCTACATTTACATGAAAGTTGATTGGAAAAAATTATAGAAGCCATGGTACCAGGCAGGAGGGGCAGGGGCCGCCCAACATGAAGATGGGTACAGGATATAACTGACTCCTTGACTGTGAAAGTGCATGAGGCAGGAGAGCTGGCAAGAGACTGAGTTTCATTCAGGCGGACTGTGATGAGAGCGACATTCTGCAAAGGACCTGTTACATGATGATGATGACATGAAAGTTAATTATTTTGTATTGGAGATAACCAAAATTTCTAATTTCTAATAATTCTAAATTAGGTGTAGGCTCACTGTGTAATATTTCTGCATCCACTCAACACTACAGACTGTCCCATACGTTTCCATACACAGGTTAAACATCCACAAACATATCACCAACGCCATTAGAAGCATAACTCCAGCTGTGCTTATACGTGTTCTTCAGCAATGAAGGACAAGCATCGAAATGTTTTCAAAACAATTGTTTTCCCTATGTACGCAAAGACAAAGATAATGACAATAAATCAGGCAAATAGTAATGTGGTTTCTCTTAATGGCCCCCCACTCCAAGACGTGGAGACTGACACCTATCTGGGCAGCAATTTAGACAAAAATGGGGGAACTGATAGAGAGAATACAAAAAGCAAGAGGAGCTTTCATAGCACTAGGGAATTTGTGGTGGTCAAAAGAAATTAAAACTAATACTAAACCTAAAATTGTTCATTCTGATGTCAAGTCAGTACTGCTGTGTGAAGCGGAAACATGGATAACAACTAAGGCAATCTGGTGCCTGTGCTGAATAGAGGCAATTAAATGGTATGATTTTTAATTAATTTTTTTTTAAGTATCCAGAAGCCTTGAGTTGTTAACTCTTAAGCTCGGTATTACGGATATCATAACCCTTCAGTCTTGATTCCATGACAGATACCGTAAATCTGGAAGAAATGTGGCTTTTCTGCCTACCCCCAGACGTGAACCCGGACCACAAGGAGTTCATCACCCGGTCACAGCGAAGTCAGGTTTAGCCAACTGCACCAGCGAGCCAGGCAAAAATGGAATGACAGAATCACTATTGTAGAGCTTTGGGAGATAACTAAACAAGTTCCAGTGGACGAAGATGTGCAGAAAAGATGCTGGTGTTGGATAAGACACATACTAAGAAAACCTGAGAACAATATAATTAGAATGTCTTTGCACTGGAAACAACTTGGCGAGTGTTGGTTGAGGGCCTATGCTCCACTTGGGGTTCGAAAGGCAGAAAAAGAAGGAGAAGGAGAAAAGGAAGAATTGAAACTTATGGTAGATCCTGTTGATCTGTCCCCTAACAACTCACTTTAATGATGACTCTTTGGTCAGTCTGTTCCTCCATTCCTTCAGCAACTGTGGTGTTCTCAATCTGCTGTCGGATGGCCCCAGCAATTGCAGGTATAAAGTTGACTGGGTTCAGATCCAGGTCATCACACAGGATTTCCCCAAACTGTTCTGGTGTAATTTGCATTTCTGGGAAAGAGCAAAACATCACATTACATTCTTGTCTGTACTTCTAGTGGGAGCTCCAAGGCCCAGTGGTAGGGGAAAAGTATAACAGACCCATACACCCCATTCTCTCACACAAGCATGTCACAGGAGGCTACTAATTAGGACTGTTTCCAATAAAGTCGGAGTACAGTAAGGGTCCCTTTACACACCAGTGGTGCATTGTCATTTGAGACTAGACTCTTATTTCAGAGGACTAGAAGGAGAAGAAAGAAGAAGAAGAAGAAAAAGAAGAAAGAACTGATTGGGGAGATGACACCTGACTGACTGAAAGAAGTAATCTATAACTCAAAACAACGTACAAAGACAAAATGTATACCGTTTTTATTCCAGGTGAAACAATCTCGAAGTTTCTGCCCTTCTATCTCCATGTCCAATCGTATGGGGATTAGCTCCTCCTTCTGACCAGCATTATCATGGACGACTGCCGGGTCGGTGTCGTCAAAACTGCAATTGAGAGACACAAGTCACTGAAATCTATTTCTGACACTACTGTTACTGTGTATGTGCTTAGCATTCATATTACAGATGCCTATTTATGAAAGACGGGCCATTCTGGGTTGCACCAGAGACACACCCCAGTGTTGTGTATGCAATACTTCCTTGGTTTGTCGACTGTTGCAGGTAGGCACAATGGTGCTGCAGGCGAAGTCATATCTCAGGGTAGCTGCAGTTAAAGGTCAGCGGCTGATAAGAGGTAGTTCATGGATGGCTCAGGCAGAAGACACAATCAGACAGGTTTGCATCCTTGAGAACATTAGGCGAGGAGAGAAGTGGGTCAAAGTGCCAGCTGAACAGTCAGACTAGTGTAGGGTCATAATCACACTGAGCCGGGAATGCAGATACTGGCCAGCAGATGAAAATTCAGCAATTAATTCAAGATAATGCTCGCTCAGAAGATTTGATCATTTACAGACAGTTCAGTGTCAAGGGGCTGAAGAAGTGCTTGGGGTTTCTAAGCAAAAGTTAATGGCCTAGCCTATGATACCACAACATCCAACTTAAGAATGGACGGAGCCGGTTACTGCAGCTTTCCGCTGGTTAGAAAATACGACACACACACACACACAACGTGATTGTAACTGACTCAGAAAGTATGCTGAGGAAGATAAGGACAGGCATGCTTCGTGCAGAGTGGCATGCCTCGCTACAGAGGTCACAGGTGAGGAGTACTGTCTGGATTTTTTCATCGGTGTGTTGGATAATGAACAGGCAGACAGACTGGCTGGCTCTGCACAACTTGGTGAAATACTGATGCATGATAAGGCACACATGGTTAGTGCCTTGTGGGAGAGTGTGTACAGTTCGGAGGAGCAGATGGATCACCAGTCTGGTGAGATTGATGCAGGGGAGAGTGACGCAAGGTTCTGGCAGATGCTCAAGGCTCAGAGGAAATGCAAGACGGACTTTAATCAGAATGCTACTAGCACCATTAGTATCGAAACTCTTCGCTGGCTGCTGAAGATGGGAACGGAGCGCTTATGGGAATGCCCCGAGTGCTGTGATGTCGGTTCTTGAATCAAATCAATCATTATAATAATTTTCTTCGCTATATCTCCTTGAGAATCAAAATTGCTACCCAAATAGGCGAAATGTCAGTTTTATCGGTTTGTTATTGGTTTACTGAGCTGAGTTAGAGAAATGATAATACAGTACTAGAGACATTACATTCTCTCAAGCACTCTGTCCCCATCTTTAGCAGCCAGATAGTATCAGAATTCAGACAGTACCAGAAGCAGTCTGACTACGCCTGCCTTGCCGTTCTCTGAGTGCTGCTTGCTGGCCAGTAGCTCTGATCACTCCCAATTGTACCATTACCTTCAAAAGGTCACAATCTACTTGCACTTCCATATTGTTCACATTATCCAAACTGTGCGTGTACCTAGCATTCACATTATGCTCATTATGTATGGGTTTAGCATTCATAATATCTTTACTGTGTACGTGCTTAGCATTCACATTATCTTTATTGCTGTGTGAACTTAATCTGCATGATATGTAAAGCAACATTTTTATAACTTAACTGATTTAAAACTCGATATCATAGCACAGCAGGCAAACCCATAGATAATCCTGCAGCAAATCTCTTAAGGTGTAGACGCTAACTGTTTTCATAGCACACTGATTATCCACACGTCATTCCCTTCCTCTTATACCTCCATCCTTGCCAGATTCCCTCCTAATTCTTCCTTCACACGTTCTTATATGTGTTTTTCATCTAACTTTATGTCTTCTATCAACATTCATTCACATTTGGTTTTTCACAGTGTCTCCCTTGTCCAGCAGGAGTGTTCCCCGTAGCTATCGCTTTTGTAGCCATAAAAATACACTTTTCATTCCCTCGCACTCCTGCATATCCCAGACACTATATCCTCGTGATTCCCTGCAATGCTGATGTACTGATGCTTGGTATCCACTCATGCCACATTTGTCCATTTATAGTTTAACAACAATGAGAAAGTTTCAATCTTGAATTTGAACTTCAGTTTTATACTTGTCTTCATAGATACTAAGGTTGCAAATCTGTCCTTACAGATAAAAGGCTAATGGTTAAAGCCAAGGAATTGACTTTGCTGTACCCACATAAAGTTCAGTATCTTTCCGTCAAATAACTAGCCTCCTGAGTCGCACAAACGCCATAGATTTGACGACTATTTCCAGGGGTCACACAAAAAAAGAAGTACTTGTCTAAAAGGCGCAGCTGTGAAATGAACCCACAACCTTCAGAGTGCGATGCAAACGGCTTGACCACTCTGCCAGTGAGACCCTCTAACGAGTTAATATATCTGAGGACATCTGAATGCTCAAAATGGCAATGTATCCAGGAGTAAATAAATAAAGTTGATGTTGCACCAATTTTCACCATTATTAAAACATCCAAACCTAACTATGAGTGCAAAGAGACAGATTATAAACAGCACACTCATTCAAACATTACTACCAGTGCCAAACATGAACACTAAAGCCCATATATGCAAAATCACCACCTGCCAGATGACATGAGAAAATCAGTCAACCCAACCATCGAGATCGAGTGAATAATGAAACTTTCAGACAAACTGCGAGAACGCCACCTTGTACTAGATTCATCAAGAAACAGCAGACCAAGTGGTTTGGCCATCGTGTTTGAATGTAGCAAGATCAAATATCACCACAAGCATTACATCTGAGAAGATCAGCAACAAGAGCTAGAGGCGGCCCAAGAAACATGGAAAGACAACATCAAAGACACTGTACCCTTCACGTCATGACAACAGCTAGTGGCAGCCAGCGGGCACTGGATTCAAAATTTTTTCTCCCCATGCCGCTTTACGGAAGAAGTGGTTTATGATGATGATGTCTATTGCACTTTCCTCATTAAAATAAAAAAGAAAATGAAAAGTTTTACCATAATGGGAAGGTTCTGATCTTGGACTTGGACAGCCTGTTTCTGTTGATGTGGGTCGAGCACGGCACGGCATCCAGGTGGTGTGAGCTGCTGGGTATTGTGGGTACCCAGCTGTTGCCTCGTTTACTCTTTGTGTTCTGTCTGGAGACAAGGATACAAGTTACACTACTACCACAGCAACTTATCGAGAGAAGGAACCAGCATATTGAAGAGAGGATAAATGTCTGGTATATAATACAGAGGGACATAGGAGCAATGTAACAAAAAATTGGATGTCTCCGTGTGGGTTCCGGGGCCCCATTGTGAGGACAAAGAGAACAGATGCACCGCCTCCCCTACAAGCATGTCGTAAGTCTAAGTGATGGTTTCTTTTGAAGTTGGAGTGCATCTGCCTGGGAGGCAAGAAACCAACAATCTGTGTACACATAAGTCAGATCTATAAAATAAATTTGCTTCGCAACAGTTAGGTTCTAGAACAAGCCTAAAGTCCAGAGGTGGAAAAACAGCCAGAACTTTTCGCTGGAGTCTACAGCCGGTGAGCACGAATAAGAAGAAAATCTGATGGAATAAAGAGGAACGAAGAAATAAGAGAAATAACAGGTCACTGAGACATAATAATAGTTATGAGACAAATAGAGAATTACTAAATAGGCACTGAAATAGGAAACCAAGGGACTGAAGAAACAAGGACATCTAAGAGAAGCCCTAAAAGGAACACTGAATAGAGAAGAAAAAGGTGATGGACTGGATTCCATTCATGATACTGAAGTCTTCATTTTATTCACATGCTGTTAACTCCGGCAGAAAGTTCTGGTTGTTCATCCACTTTTGAACTTTAGTAATGCTCCAGAACCTTAGTTTTGCATGCGCATCTGTTTTACAGATCTGAATTAAACATGTATGCAGACTGTTGGCTCCTTGCCTCTCAGCCAGATGCACTCTGTCTTGGAAGGAAACTCCCAGTTAGTCTACTCTTACAATATGCTTGTTGGGGAGGCAGTGGGTCTATTCTTGTTTTCCCACAAGGGGGAGGGGGCAGGGGGGGAGGCTAGAATCCACATGAAGTGACTGCAGAGGACAAAATGCAGTGGAGAAATAGACAGAATGCAAGCCCTCTGTCAAATATAATGGCACAACAGGACGATGATGATAATGATAGAATCAATGTGTGGTTTAGGATATACATGGAGATTTCTTCTTATGCGGTGCACCCTTAAGAGGGCAGTTGGCAAATTGTATTGTGGTTTGAAGCCAGGCTGTGATATATGCCCCTTTCAGCCCTACACATCTAAACTAAATGTTTAATTAGTTGCCTCTTACAAAACTTGTTAAGAAGTGTAATGGGGGGGAATTTCAAAGGAATCCTAAAGGGTTTCCCAGATGACGAGCTAGGGTCAAGGGTCAATCAAGTGAGTAGAACCTGGGAAAGGGACGCTGGCTAATTCCTGTGGTTCACTGAAGAATTGCAAGCGAGAAACCTGTGAGAGGGGGAACAAAGGTTTGAAGGTGAAAAAGAAGATAGGATAAGTTTGTTTTTGGACAGCAGTGTGTGAGGTCGAGTGCAGAGAGGAACGACTGCCAGGAATGGAGGTTACTGACAAAGTATGAAAGTTCCTGAGACGCAAAGAATCATGGCTGTGTTGATGTGAACCTGAAGCAAGCTTCGAACGACCGCGAAGTTAACAGGCACTTGGTTGGAAATGCAAGCTGTCGACATGAATGAGATGCATGGAACGAAAAGTAATTACAGCTAGATTTGAGTTGTGATGTTTCTACAGAAGTATTCATAACTGTGCCCTAGTGCGTAAACAGCAGACAGGGACTGGACAGTACGTCTGTTGGATCTGCAATAATCAGATCAATACTTGCCGACTGGTGCTTCTTCGTCTACAGTATTCATACTAATATAACAGCTGAAAAGAGAGAAGATCAGAGTGTTTATTCCCTGTGTGGGTTACAGGGCCCCACTGTAGGGAAAACAAGAACAGACCCACTGCCTCCCCAGCTAGCATGTCGTAAGAGTCGACTGACTGAAGGCTTCCTTTGAATTCAGAGTGCATCTGCCTGAGAGGCAAGGAACCAACAATCTGTATACAAATAAGTCAGATCTGTAAAACAGATGTGCAGGCAACACTCAAGTTCTGAACAAAAGATTATAGAATAGAGTCCAGAACTTTCTGCAAGAGTTTACAGCCGGTGAATACGAAGAAGAAGAGTGTTTATGAGCCCAAACAGAACCTAAAGAGAGCATTATCCCCAGAAGCAATGGGCCTATTCTTCTTTTACTTTTCTCCCCCTAAAAGAAATAGTACCCTGGAACCCATGTAGGGATACACAGAGTCAAAAAGTAGAGTGGTCTGGTCATTTAGAAAGTTTAAAATCAAGACAATCGATATAATACAAACAAACAAACAACAACAAAAATCAATGTCTTACACGACAAAAGAAGTGTCTGAGCTGAGTGAGACAGCTTTGTACTTCTCATCAGAACCAGTGATGATCTCATCAACTTCACTGGCTTTCAGTAAAGTGATGTTGGTTGCCAGGGAGTGGTGGCCATAACCTGGGTGAAGACAAACAGTAAAATATGATTTTACGGTCACTTTATGTATAACATTAAAGGTAAAGTCGGGAGACGTGAACCAGCGCCACTGCACACGGTTATGAACCATGAGTGCTCTGCCCCCAGTACCGACAGCTGATAAGAAACTATCCGCCTGTGTCCCTGCCCGCACGAAACTCCGTAGCTACAGCGATGTACCTCCATTTACCCCAGATTGTTAACTCTGGTACCCATTTCCTAGAGGCTGGGTGAACCCCCGGAACCGCCTGGTTTCGAACACCGGCCGTGTGCTGCAGCAAGTCACAGCTGGATTTGAAAGTGAGTCTCCTATTGACTGCACTAATGCGGCCCCGTGTAACATTAGCTACCTACTGATGTTGCTACTGTGTTGTACTATGTCTTGTTCAGCAGCAGCAAGCATGTCTCATTTGGCAGTAACTCGGGAGTCACCGTGGTGTGGCAGCTAGACGCTGGAAAGCAGATCGGTAGGGCGTTGGTTTGGGTCCAGGCAGAGATTTTTTTTTTTTTTTTAACTACCTTGGCTCTGCCAGGTCTACCCAGCCTTGAACGTGTACCAGTTGCAGTCCTGGGGAAAAATGGCGGGCGGAGAGGTGCTGGCTACATCACCATCCAATTGCTGATTGTTCTAAAAATTATAGGTCCAGCCATATATGCCCAATATGCAGTAACTTGAGTGATCTGTTCATAAGCAATTTGTGAGTCCTATTTAGTAGTAATTTGGGAGTTTTCTTTAGTGATAATGTAGGTGTCTTCTACTTCTTCTGCAATCATCTTAGCATGCAGCTGCACTGTGCCTGTTTACAGCATGGCTGTGATATTTATTGCTTCTTTGAGTATCTGTCCCGAGTTAGCCTTCCCAAAAAGTTAAAAAAGTAAAGTCGGGAGATGTGAACCAGCATCATTGCGCATGGTTATAAACCATCAGTGCTCTGCCACCAGTACAGACAGCTGATAAGAAACTGTCCATCTGTGTTGCCGTCCGCATGCAACTCCGTAGCTACAGCAACGTTCCTCCATTTACCTCAGAGTGTTAACTCTGGTACCCATTTCCTAGAGGCTGGGTGAACCTCAGGAACGGCCCGGTTACAAACACCGGCTGTGGGTTGCAGCGAGTCGCAGCTGGATTTGAAAGCGATTCTCATATCGACTGCGCTAACACAGCCTTTCCAGATGTGGGTGTCTAAGTAATAACTTAAGCATATTATCTAGTAGTCATGTATGTACATTCTTTAGCTGAGACTATGTCTTCTTCTTAAAGTCCATGCCATGTGCTGTTGGTTGTCATGTTAGTTAACATTGGTGAGATTGCAAGAAGATCAATTTAACTCATATGAAACATTACTCTCAGTAGTAATTTAGGAATTTAGGTTAATTAAGTGTTCATTTTGTTGTCTAAATCACAAAAAATAAAGGCATATTTAAACATTACTCTGAAGGGTAAAAAGTTAAATTAAATGTTCATCTGGCTGTCTAAATCATTAAAAACGTTACCCATATTTGCCAACTTTTTGCGCTCCTCTAATGTAATCAAACGTCTCCACATTGAGGGATACCTCTTGTACAGGGATCCTCGAAACATGCGCAAATAATTGCCCACCTGTGAACAATAAGGCAAATCATAGTCTTTGGAGATGTGGTAATAGAGAAGAAAGGGTCTTATTTCATGAAAATAAAAATTACAAAACAAAAAGAAACAGGAAATTCAAAAAATAGTTCTTATTTTAAAAAAAATAACAATGGAGAGATGAGTGAAATATGTTGGCCACATTTAAAGACAAAACACTCATAAAAAACAATACCGAAGGCAAGTGAGAAAGAGGGAGTGATACAGGTGGAAGGATAACAGTGAGAGACAGATGAACATAAGGCTGAAAGAGTGAACACTCAGGCGAAAGGCAGAAGGTTTAGGGGATCTACTGCTGCAACCAACCTTCACTGTGGGGATGATACTTTGTCACTTTGTTGCATGAAACAATAAAGACAAGAGAAAGTAATAAAATAAATACGAGCAAACAAAACTGCTTTTAAATGAATTCACTAAACTCCCTGTATAGGTTCCAGAGTCCTATTTTGCTGGGACAATACACCCAGGGCAACCACTAACGTAACAAGCATGCTACACCCAGGGCAACCACTAACGTAACAAGCATGCTACACCCAGGGCAACCACTAACGTAACAAGCATGCTACACCCAGGGCAACCACTAACGTAACAAGCATGCTACACCCAGGGCAACCACTAACGTAACAAGCATGCTACACCCAGGGCAACCACTAACGTAACAAGCATGCTACACCCAGGGCAACCACTAACGTAACAAGCATGCTAACCAGGGCAACCACTAACGTAACAAGCATGCTACACCCAGGGCAACCACTAACGTAACAAGCATGCTACACCCAGGGCAACCACTAACGTAACAAGCATGCTACACCCAGGGCAACCACTAACGTAACGAGCATGCTACACCCAGGGCAACCACTAACGTAACAAGCATGCTACACCCAGGGCAACCACTAACGTAACAAGCATGCTACACCCAGGGCAACCACTAACGTAACAAGCATGCTACACCCAGGGCAACCACTAACGTAACAAGGCTACACCCAGGGCACTAACGTAACAAGCATGCTACACCCAGGGCAACCACTAACGTAACAAGCATGCTACACCCAGGGCAACCACT